ACAGTAATCGGTGTGTATATTGACTATATTTTTATGTCTAAGTTGTCTTAGGGATATAACCACATATCTGACAGTGTGTATATTGACTATATTTTTATGTCGAAGTTGTCTTAGGCCTACAATTACATATCTGACAGTGTGTATATTGACAATACTTTTATGTCTAAGTTGTCTTAGGGATACAATTACATATCTGACAGTGTATATATTGACTATATTTTTATGTCTAAGTTGTCTTAGGGATACAATTACATATCTGACAGTAATTGGTGTGTATATTGACTATATTTTTATGTCTAAATTATCATAGGGATACAATTACATATCTGACAGTGTGTATATTGACAATATTTTTATGTCTAAGTTGTCTTAGGGATACAATTATATATCTGACAGTGTATATATTGACTATATTTTTATGTCTAAGTTGTCTACTGGATACAATTACATATCTGACAGTGTGTATATTGACTATTTTATTATGTCCATGTTGTCTTAGGGATACAATTACATACCTGACAGTGTGTATATTGACTATATTTTTATGTCTAAGTTGTCTTCGGGATACAATTACGTGTCTAACCGTGTGTGTTTTGACTTTATTCTTCTACAACTACGTGTCATCAGTGTGTGTTTTGACTATATTTTTTATACAATTACATCTATCAGTGTGTGTTTTGACTATATTTTTTATACAATTACGTCTATCAGTGTGTGTTTTGACTATATTTTTATACAATTACGTCTATCAGTGTGTGTTTTTACTGCATTTTTATACAAGTACGTCTATCACGGTGTGTTTTGACTATATTTTTATTTCTCAGTGGTCTTCGGGATACAATCCCAGAAGGGTTTCGAGGCGTTTTCGTTTGAGCTGTTGCAATTCGGTGTTGGCCTGCTGCAGATGTTGCCTACAATGAAGGAACGGCCCAATGTCATATCAACAGTTATACATCTGGTAAAATATATCAACAGTTAAACATCTGGTAAAGAATATCAACAGTTGAACACCCGGTAAAAATATCAACAATTAAACGTCTTGAAAGAGTCCTGGGACATTGTTGTAACCATGCCAGACCCATGACTCATTCAAAGCTACAGAACTATGTGCTGAAGTGCAGCGGTGGTTGAAATTATGTACGTACAAAAAAATAGGACATGACACCCAAGAATGCTACGATAAATTGTAATAACTGCTACGGTGAAATGTAATAACCACCACGATAAAATGTAATAGTTAATAACCACTAAGATTAAAGGTATTCAAGGCAAACTGCAGGCTTGACTTACGAGGCAGCCGCCGCCCTGAGATGATCCTCAAAGACAACCCTCAGAACATTCTTCGTGCCAGGAGCATACCCTCGCGGAGGTGATTGAATCACCACGTGTAGCACTCTCTACTCGTCAGGCGTATGGAAGGAAGCATGGATTAGCTCAGTGACAGCTGCAATGGTTGCCTACGCTTGTGAAGACTCAGTCAGCAGAGACCAAGACCAGTAAGTATGGCACACAGTGGGAGTACTACCCAGCATAGACCAAGACCAGTAAGTAAGGCACACAGTGGGAGACTACCCAGCATAGACCAAGACCAGTAAGTAAGGCACACAGTGAGAGACTACCCAGCATAGACCAAGACCAGTAAGTAAGGCACACAGTGGGAGTACTACCCAGCATAGACCAAGACCAGTAAGTAAGGAACACAGTGGGAGTACTACCCAGCATAGGCCAAGACCAGTAAGTAAGACACACAGTGGGAGTACTACCCAACAAGCGATAGAGCGGACTCACATTGAACGCATGATCAACGACGGGCAGACCAACACAACGGACGTCAATGCAACTCTTCTAACACATTCACTGCACCCGTCTCGAGCTAAAGTGTCGCAACTGCCACGCACGACGCGCATGAGTGTACCATACGCCAGTCTTCTTCTTGTGCATTTCTATACTCAAATCTGTGGATAAAAAAATGGTTCACGGATATACTAGTACCTGCAGTGAGATCACTACATGGCCGGAGGATGCGTGCAAAATGAAGAAGCAGAAGAAGAAGAAGAACAACAACAAACACGTGTCGAAACCTTACATGGTTGCCACTGTCGGGTGTGATGTCCACGTGCTGCAAGTCACTGGCCACCTTAACCACCCCCCAGCCCAATTGTTCTGTAGATAAAGGGAAAGGTTTGTAATCGAAGAAACGGATAAGACTACCGAACATCTCAACAGCTCAATTAAAGGTAAGCCGAATTTAGGATGGGATTCGCGGGAGAATTGGCTGTACATCGCAATCACCTATCACCTTTCGACTCAGCCGTCGTTGTTCAGAAGTAGCGTTGTAGCAAGAACTAGCATGTGTATGTTTACATCAACACACCAACAAGTATGGTCATATGGTCGACGGCAACGCTATAGTTAGACGTACATGCTGCGTGTTTGATAGTAACGGATATAATACGCCATAGGGAAGATACAACTGCAGACTGGCAGCTCACACGCCCGAGTGTGAACGCGTGCTATCGTTCCAATATGCCTAACGTAGGCTATTTAAACAATAACTCATGTACGCATAACTCCCCTGCCACAGCTAAACATAGCATTTATGCGCACGCCTACGTAGGCTATATAAACAATAACTCATGGACGCGTAATTCACCTGCCATAACCAAACATAGCAACTATGCGCACGCTTGAGACACGATTGGCAAGCATAATTGTCAACACGTCTGCGTTGACAAGGATGGTTGTGAACATGTCTATGCTGACAAATGCTTGGGACACGACTGGCAAGCATAATTGTCAACACGTCTGCGTTGACAAGGATGGTTGTTAACACGTCTGCGTTGACAAGTATGGTTGTTAACATGTCAATGCTGACAAATGCTTGAGACACGACTGACAAGCATAATACACAACTATCACGAGGTATACGAAAGTAATACACGGGACGTACTCTTGTCAGGCTCTACAAATATCAAGCGCTCAGGGTCGATGACGAGAAATCTGTGCGCGCCCAAAGGCTTATCTGACTGAATCACTCGACACGACATCAGGTCTGCGTCGTCTGTGAGGGTGTGGGATTTTGTTAACACGTCGATAGTTGACAAGAGAAGGATAGCAATTGGAAGTACGAGAATAGGCGGAATAGTATCAGCTATTGAGCGCAACTACAATCAAAGAACTATCTTGTAGCAACCGATCTCAATTGAGTATGTCTAGTACATTGGTTTGTCGAGTTAGTGAGGAAGAAGCATAGCATGGCTACCACAAAGCGTAATCACAATCCACTAACTATCTTATAGAGATATATCCCTATGGTCTGTCAGAGATATTTAAAGGTGTATGTGCATATTCACCGGGGATATCGTCGGAATAACTGAAATCTATTCACAAAACTGACGGCACACGTAAGTGACAGGTGCACACCGAAGACACGCACAAACAATCTAGAGACCAATCCATTTTGAAGAAAAAAACTCAGATCTAACTGTTGATTGAAACATACTCAGATCTAACTGTTGATTGAAACATACTCAGATCTAACAGTTGATTGAAACATACTCAGATCTAACTGTTGATGGAAACAGACTCAGATCTAACTGTTGATGGAAACATACTCAGATCTAACTGTTGATGGAAACATACTTAGATCTAACTGTTGATAGAAACATACTAAGATCTAACTGTTGATGGAAACATACTCAGATCTAACTGTTGATAGAAACATACTAAGATCTAACTGTTGATGGAAACATACTCAGATCTAATTGTTGATGGAAACATACTCAGATCTAACTGTTGATTGAGAAGCTCTTGCTCATTAACTTCTGCGAGTAAAGGCAACATATCCTCAGCCGTGCGAATCTACGCAGCCCATTCCACAGTCACCGCCGCACCAATCACAGTACGCCGTCAGAGGGAAGTAGTGCGTATAGAGATCAACGGCAGAGGGTGTTGTGGTTAGTAGAATATCTGAACGAGCGACAACAACGACACTCATGCAGAGTTAACATAGACGTACACGTGGAAGTAACATCAGCCACACTCATGCAGAGGTAACATAGACGGACACGTGCAAGTAACATCACCGACACTCATGCAGAATTAACATGCGATGCACCGCAGACGTACACGTACTAAAACCCTAAACCTTAAAACGTACACGTGGAAGTAACATCAGCGACACTCATGCAGATTTAACATGTTTTAGGGTTTTAGGGGTTCTGAAGATGGAAATGGCACTGTGCACCTTTCGAACAGATTTGCCACAAACGTAACAGCCTTCTATTCAAGTAAAAAAATAATGCCACAGACAAAGCCAGTATACGACAGAAGGGTTCATACCACCCACTTGAAATTAGAGCCTTTTCCACACACCAATTGTAAGTAGAGTTTACGCATGAGTTTTTCCACACACCATTTGTAAGTAGGGTTTACAGATGAGTTTTTCCACACACCAATTGTAAGTAGAGTTTACGCATGAGTTTTTCCACACACCAATTGTAAGTAGGGTTTACAGATGAGTTTTTCCACACACCATTTGTAAGTAGAGTTTACGCATGAGTTTTTCCACACACCAATTGTAAGTAGGGTTTACGGATGAGTTTTTCCACACACCAATTGTAAGTAGAGTTTACGCACGAGTTTTTCCACACACCAATTGTAAGTCGAGTCTACGCACGAGTTTTTCCACATACCAATTGTAAGTAGAGTTTACGCATGAGTTTTTCCACACACCAATTGTAAGTAGAGTTTACGCACGAGTTTTTCCACACACCAACTGTAAGTAGGGTTTGCGCACGAGTTTTTCCACACACCAACTGTAAGTAGGGTTTACGCACGAGTTTTTCCACACACCAATTGTAAGTAGAGTTTACGGATGAGCAGGAAGCTGTGGACGGCCTTGCGACACCGCTCGACCTCTCCGTTGGGTATGCGGTAGTTGAGGTGAATGCCTGTGTGGCACGGGAGAGGTAGTGATGCCAACGGTCACATGAGTGTCAGCTCAGACGGTTCTCGTTATACAAAGCACTCGGGCGTTACCTTTGGCTGAAGCCTACCTCAGCGACATCGCCATGTGTGTATGAGGAGACGGTACTCACGCAACCATCGGAAAAAAAACGAGATCTGGCATGACTCATGTTTGACTCATGCTTGTGAGGGATTGAACGTGTGCACTCACAACAGCATCGGATGAGCTTGTTGCCATTTGTGATTACTCAATGGGCTGACAGTCTCCTCTGAGGCTGCCATGATAGCATTACTAACTGGTGTCAAATGAGACAGTAAAAAGCACAACTGTGTACTGACTCGGGTGGGTCGGACGTGGGTGGTTATCACATTCGTTTACATTTCCACGCACTGTCAGATACTTTCGTGTTCAGGTTTATACACACGACACAGTACTACACACTTACGTGTCCAGGTTTACACACACGACACGGTACTATACACTTACGTGTTCAGGTTTACACACACGACACAGTACTACACCCTTACGTGTTCAGATTTACACACACGACACAGTACTACACTCTTACATGTTTAGGTTTACACACACGACACAGTACTACACTCTTACGTGTTCAGGTTTACACACACGACACAGTACTACACTCTTACGTGTTCAGGTTTACACACACGACACAGTACTACACTCTTACGTGTTCAGATTTACACACACGACACAGTACTACACTCTCGGCCACAGCCTGGAAGTGATAGACACCCCATTGCGAATACACACACCCCCACAGGGACAAACAAAAACAAACAAACAAACAGTGCACAGGAGAAGACAACAACAGATGAGTGCACTGAGGGAAACTAAACCAATCATGATACAAAGAATAACAAAGAAACATGCACCTGCAGGCACACACACAAGACGGAATCAAGGAGAACGCCAACGCCAACGCCAGTAGACACGCAGGGGTGAGCATAAAGACAACACCTCGCAAAACATAACATATGCCGTGAAACAGTATACTCCTAGTAAATGCACACACCCACCTGTCATGGGTGTAATAGCTACAACCACATCTCACAAAACACATACACTAGTACATGCACCCACCCACCTGTCATGGGTGTAATAGCTACAACCACACCTCACAAAACACATACACTAGTACATGCACACACCCACCTGTCATGGGTGTAGTAACTACAATCACACCTCACAAAACACATACACTAGAACATGCACACACCCACCTGTCATGGGTGTAGTAACTACATCCACACCTCACAAATCACACACACTAGTACATGCACCCACCCACCTGTCATGGGTGTGTTGGTAGCCGGCAGTAGTATGTGGGGTTGCATGAGCACCGTCTGCATGCGCAGCTCCTTCTGTTGATACTCAGCCTCAACCATTGGCAGGATCATGGCACTCGCGTGGGTGCGGTACAGCGTGGCCACTTGACTCTGTGCGGTCTCGTGCGCCGACTGTGTGGTAGGTACAGGGATGTATATATAACTAAAGAGAACACATACATAAACAACCAGACAAGGGATGTATATAAAACTGAAGAGATCACATACATAAACAACCAAGATGTATATATAACTAAAGAGATCACATACATAAACAACCAGACAACGGCAGAAGAACACGCCTGCATGGACGTATATGGTTAACAGCCAGCACAAACAGTACACGCTCTACCACTACTGGGACAGTGCAGCGTAAGGATACAGGGAAGTCCGCCCATCCCTCACATTGGGCGAGGCTTCAAAGGTTAGTGTCGGTGCTTTGATACGCTCTCAGGGCCCAATGCGGCTCATCACAACCCACAGACCCACACCACGGACTATATCACAGCCAATACTGTAGTACCACAAACTGCATGCTGAGTCATAAGCAATGATCACGGACTATATCACAGCCAACACTCTATTAACACAAACTACATGCTGAGTCATAAGTAATGCCGCGTACACAACCATCGCCACCACACACCTTCAGCTTCTGAATATGCCTCGCCCTGAGACAGGCGTCAGTGCCTTCGAAGTAGCACAACTCGCGGATGACCTTGGCAGCCACATGGATGGTCACTTGGCGCACCTCACTGTTTATCTTACACCCTGTGTGAGGGTGGGATGGCAAATGAGTGAAGATAAGTATCTATAATATCTTACACCCTGTGTGAAGGTGTGATGGCAAACGAGTGAAGATAAGTATCTATAATATCTTTCACCTTGTGTGAGGGTGTGTTAAATGAGTGAAGATCAAGTGTCTTTTTTATCTTACACCCTGTGTTAAGGTGTGTCAAATGAATGTTAGTGAAGAACACGTATCTGTATCAAGTGTTGCAAACATGTGTAATGATATGCATGCAAAAGGACCCAACTAATTACACCATGAAGAACGCCTGGAAGGAGAGTGACGTACACACGGGACATTTGATTGGTGTTAGTATACATCGTATACATTTGATTGGTGTTAGTATACATCGCATACATTTGATTGGTGTTAGTATAGATCGCACACATTTGATTGGTCCTAGTATAAATCGTATACAGATTGGTCCTAGTATAAATCGTATACATTCGATTGGTGTCAAATAAGGATTGTATACCCTGGAATAATACGTCACCTAAGGTGCAAGTGAACACGTGCATATTCGCGCTGTGTAGTAAGTCAGCATTTGGCACAAAGATTTTTACTACCACATGACATGTACACCAACCCATTGACTTACCTTCACCACCACATGATAAATACACCAACCCATTGACTTTACTACAACATGATAAGTACACCAACCCATTAACTTACTTTCACTACCACATGATAAATACACCAACCCATTGATTTTACTACCACATGATAAGTACACTAACCCATTGACTTTCCTACCACATGATAAGTACACCAACCCAATGACTTTACTACCACATGATAAGTACATCAACCCATTGACTTGCCTTCCCGGAGTACTGCGATGGCTCTCTCAACCAACTCCGCGCTGTATGATATCGTCGACTGGAGAAATAAAAAAATGAAAATATAAATTAAAAATCCTGTAAATAGAAAAATAAAAACAGTATGTACATGTAAGCGTCCACGGAACACGTGAGCACAAAAGAACGGATCCACACAACAGTACGTCTATGACCGATAATCAATGCTCGCTTGCGTGTGTGTAGCTGTGTAGACGCATCTCCATGTGACTACCAACCAGCCGTACCAATGTGAACATGCTTTGACTAAACGACGGGGACGATGGCAAGCGTGGTAATCGCATCTCTGCTTCCTCCGACACTCCATCGCCGACTGTGGGTGATGAGGAATCTCGTCTCGCCGTGCTAGACTCTGTAGTGGGTTCTTCCGTCTGTTCCGTATTGGTAGTTGAAATACGAGTCAGATTTGAGCTTGTGCATATAATGTGCATATAATGTGCATATATATATATATATATAAATACATATACAATATAATATAATTTATATATAATAATATATATATACTAATATATATATATATATATATATATACATACATACATATACATACACACACACACACACATATATATATATATCTCTCATGACGCACGCTTGTTGTCCACGGGCAGATATTTTCACACCACGACTCGAAACCAAGCCACGGCGAAGAGTGCAGTGAAAGTCTAAACCCCTACAAAGCTCTGGCCACAGCACAACAACTTCAAATGTCTCCCACTATTACAAGTACAGTCAGCACTCCCATGTCCTCAGACAAAGAGGGTTTCATAGCAACCCAAAAACCCTAGCCGTCCCCTGTCACCATACACAAGAGGTGTCATAGTAACCACCAACTCAGCTCAAACACCCCAGTACCTCTGCAGCGATTCCTTCCTCAGCGATTGCTCGCTTCTTGGGCAGCCATCGGGCGGCCGTCAGTATGTTGCTTTCCACCAATGGCGACGAGATGATGCTGTACACAAAACATAGCGCACTCAGCGTCACGGTTTCGTCCTTTTCGCAGTCTATAGCTCGCAGTACTGCGTCTCGGTATAATCGCTCGTTCCCTGTTTGTGTGTGGTGGGTTACGTTTGTGTGGGGTGGGGTATATGTGTGAGGGTGAGTTTCATACCATGACCAAGCAGGCTTACTGAGAAAGGTCCGCACATGCCGTGACATCCACGAGGTTCATTCTGTGCACTCACTCGATGTGAGTTGCTGATGTGGACCGTTTGCTTAGAGGTTTGAGCTTCGCATGTAATGTTCACGTATGTACTCTCTCGTACTGAGCTTCGCATGTACACGTATGTACTCTCTTCGCATGTACACGTATGTACTCTCTTCGCAGGTGCACGTATGTACTCTCTCGTACTGAGTGTATCGGCGACAGCTGTCAGAGAGAGATGACACCCCTGACTTGCAGCAGCCCCGGAATTCTAAAGCTCTCACAGTCAACCAGAATATAAGACACCTGACACACCTCACATTCACAGACGTCGGAACTACAAACAACAAACCGCCGTAAACCCTAAACCCTGGAGATGCATGTTAAATGAGGACACCGTGCATGGCTCCAATGACTCAGAAGATACGAATAGTCGTGAGGTGCCCAAGACACACTTACGTACACATCAGTGAATGTATAAGTCAACTATGTCACATATGAACATCCCCACACATCTACCTGACCACACCACATGTACACATCAGTGAATATGCAAGTCAACAATGTCACATATGAACATCCCCACACATCTACCTGACCACACCACACGTACACATCAGTGAATGTACAAGTCAACAATGTCACATATGAACATCCCCACACATCTACCTGACCACACCACACGTGCACATCAGTGAATATGCAAGTCAACAATGTCACATATGAACATCCCCACACATCTACCTGACCACACCACACGTACACATCAGTGAATATGCAAGTCAACAATGTCACATATGAACATCCCCACACATCTACCTAACCACACCACACGTACACATCAGTTAATGTACAAGTCAAGAATGTCACATGTGAACATTTCCACACATCTACCTGACCACACCACACGTACACATCAGTGAATGTACAAGTCAAGAATGTCACATATGAACATCCCCACACATCTACCTGACCACACCACACGTATTGTTAGTGAATGTACAAGTCAACAATGTCACATATGGACATCCCCGCACATCTGCCTGACCACACCACACGTATTGCACACCTGTCACGGTCATGGACGTCTTCCTACTCAGTGACAGCGTAGTCGGATCGCTCACATTGGCTGTGGTTGTCATGGTAACCTCTAGACCCTCCGCGTCCTCATGTGCGAACCCCTTTGAGAAGGCCATGCGGCTGCTGCGATCCTTTGCACTGGTGGGGCGACTGTTAACGTTTAAACGTTCCATCGATACCACGGGACTGTCAATGATCTTTTCTGGCGGACCGAATCTTCTGTATAACGCAGTGCAGACGGGTAGGGGTGCTTCAATGAGGTGCTGTTATGACACACTCACTACCACAGACTGCTTTCACAGTGTGCTATTAATTCCTGCAGAACTAATCCATACACAAAACTCGGGGTGCTAGGAGGGGTATTCACGGTATATATATATATGCAAATGTCAACATATAAATGTATATATATACATACATACATATATATATATATTAAAAAATATAAATACATATACATATATAAATATATATGTATGTATGTATAGACATATATATTATAGATATAGTAGTGGCCCTGTCTATAGCACCCGTTCATATCAATATCCGTCTATTCCTGCTCCCGCGTACTTCAGCAACACTCACATATATCTAATAACTTACACTTCACACATGCCGGTCTGATTAACCGAGTTCAAATCGGCCCCTTACAGCAAATAAACCTGCGCTATAGCTTCCTCTCGCACCATCCAAACCACTCCCTACGAACACAACACGTACTTTATAACACCCTTCCCTGTCCAAACAGACCCACACCCCACACGCCACACCAAACAGACCTACACCCCACACCCCACACCAAACAGACCCACACCCCACACCCCACACCAAACAGACCCACACCTCACACGCCACACGCCACACCAAACAGACCCACACCTCACACGCCACACGCCACACCAAACAGACCCACACCTCACACGCCACACGCCACACCAAACAGACCCACACCTCACACGCCACACGCCACCCCCTGAGGTCGTCTCGCACCTTACCTCAGGCGACTCTTAGCCGTGTCGGGTGTTCGGTATGACATGGCGTCTGGAGTGCCCATCCCTGAGGCCAATGCGGGTGACGAAGGAGCGGACAGCACCGTTGCGTGTTTGAAGGGACTGTTGAGGGCGGGGGGTGGGCCTCTGCGGGTGTTCTGTGGTGTGTTGTAGCCGTTGGCTGCGTGGGTGCAAGCGGCGGTGGGTGAGCGAGACCGGTTGGTGGGAGGTAGATGTGTGGATTGGTGTGGAGTAGATATGTGGATACGCCTAAGGACCGTGCATGTGGAATGTTCCAGTGGTGTTAGGGTATCTATTGAGGGCTATACCGAGCACTCAGAGGATGTCACGACCATATTGTACACTTACAACATGTGCCTCGAACGCAGACACGAACACAAACACACAGAAAAACACGCACACGTGTACACAAACACACAGAAAAACACGCACGCACGTACACAAACACACAGCTAAAAAGCACACTCCACACGACGGCATCCTACAAAGGGTCTGTCAGCACAGCAGTATGTGCGGGAGCCATAGTCTGACTTGCATCTTCCATACAGCAAGACCAGCTTTCATCGCCCCAGATGTTCGTACACAACAGACGGACTTGTATTTATGCGCATATGTATAACATATTGCACCAATGCACCCGCTTTTGCTAGCTTTAGGACCGGTTCGTGCTATAGCTGAAGACGGAGAAGTCACTTCACACACACTATCCACGCAGAATCGAATCCATGAGCATGTGTGCAAATTGAGACACATATTATGAGCATGTGTGCATATAGTAACATGTGTGCACACATATCATGAGCGTGTGCATAGGGAGATACATATCACGAGCATGTGTGCAAAGACAGACACATATCGTGTCTGTATACATTCAAGGCTACAAGCGATATGACCAGCCGTGTCTTCCACAATGACAAAACAACCGTCTCGCACTTTAGAGAATACACACTTGAAACACTTGCAATGTGGGTGTACTATCATACCGTAGATATACCTCCGCACACACTAACAATTGGTAGCGATGGGTCTGACCCATAACATCCGTCTCATATCCTAGAGAACACATACTCAACACTTGCAATGCAGGGGTAGAATCAAAACAACGGCACGCATACATCCTTACATACTTACAATTGGTAGTGATTGGTCTGACTGTACCGTCTCCTGAGGGCGAATCCACAGTCACTCCCCCCAGGACAGCTGTGACGTGTGTTGCTAAGTTGTTTGTTGATATCTGGGCATCACTTGGTGTGTGTGTGTTGTTTTCGTTTGGCATTACATCATCTGCTGTGTGCGTGTTTGCTTCTTTGCTCGTCTCCCTGGCCTCTACCCCGTCGTCAGTGAGTGCCGTGTGCGTGTGCGTGTGCGTGTGCGTGTGCGTGTGCGTGTGCGTGGGCGTGGGCGTACGGTCGTTGTGTGCTTCAGCCGTGTCTGTGTCCAGGCTACTACGCTCATGGGCCTCAATCGCTGTCTCCTCCCTCTTCTCGCCCGCCCTATCCTCTCCCTTTCCCGTAGTACCCCCACCACTTGTTGGCGTGTCGTCTCTATGCGTGTCTGCACACCCCTCTTCCCGCCTCCCCTTATCTGCATTGCTCAGAGGTGCGCCTTCGGTTACTGTTGCTAGGTCACTGGTGGATCGTTCGTTCTCTGTTCCACTGTCTGCGCCGCTGTCAACGCCTTTGCCCACTGTGTGCTGCGACGGAGTTCGGCTGAGGGACAGTGTGCGACGCAACTCTTCCACTCCAGACACCTGATGGTTGACAGGCGGGTTAGGTAGTGGTGGTTAACAGGCGGGTCAGGTAGTGGTGGTGGGTGGGCTATATGTAGAGATATGATACACTAAAGTAGTAGTGGGTGGGTTATATGCAGAGATATAACTCCCTGCAGTAGTCTAAGAGATGGATACTCAATACAGGGCCAATCAGGACTAAAGATGGGCTATACTCAATACAGGGACAATCAGGACTAAGAGATGGGCTATACTCAATACAGGGACAATCAGGACTAAGAGATGGGCTATACTCAATACAGGGACAATCAGGACTAAGAGATGGGCTATACTCAATACAAGGACAATCAGGACTAAGAGATGGGCTATACTTAATACAGGGACAATCAGAATTAAGATATGGGCTATACTCAATACAGGGACAATCAGGACTAAGAGATGGGCTATACTCAATACAGGGACAATCAGGACTATGAGATGGGCTATACTCAATACAGGGACAATCAGGACTAAGAGATGGGCTATAAACAATACAGGGACAATCAGTACTAGAGATGGGCTATACTCAATACAGGGACAATCAGGACAAAGACATCAACGGTACGATGTGCATGGTGATACGGATAGTGATAGATATCCTACCCACCTTGAGCAACTCAGCGGCCAGCCCATTAAGTAGGTATGAGTGGCGGAAGACACTGAACACGTGGGCAAGCAAGATCATGGACGTCACCATGGAGATGCGAGGCGCCGGCTCTCCCGCAACCTGTGAGTAGTTGGCAATGTGTCATTCTGGTGAGAGATGTAAAAAGTTTGCATGTATAGGTAAGATAAATATATATATATATATATATATATAGTGTACATATAGGTAAATATATATATATATATATAGTGTATATATATATATGTGTGTATATGTATAGATTTGTATATTCAGACATGTTTTCATATGTAAGGAGCATTGTGACACCGTAGTCCGCAGTATAACGCCATGTCAATCCATTGTGAAGAGTTGCTGTGCGCAATTTGAGTGGCTGTGATGCTCGAGATCACACTAAACAGAGGTATATGGGATGTACTGAGTGTTTATATCAAATAAACACCTTCTCTATTATTTGTAGTAATTGAAGGGACGTAAACTCCGGCCAGTGCACCTCCACTGAGCTCGACAGTTTATACCGTTTACGTATTGAACGGCAGGTACGGATGAACGGGCATAGATCTCAAGGGAATACTGTACGTCTAATGAGGTGTTATCTCCCACAAGCACCAACAAGCAGCCACCCCGTTAACAATGCCACAAACAAACCCCTTTCGCAGATCAACTAAACAAGACTGCGCCATCCAATGACTGACTACAGACAGAAGACAATGTCAGGTACGTGTGTAGTATGTGAGAGCTGGCCATGATACTCCACTGGCATGTATTTGCCATGTTACTCCGTTGGCATGTAGAACCGGCAGATACGAACGAGGACTACAACACGCGCGTGGACAGGAGACCTGCAGCACCTACCATAGCGTTGGTCTCAGACTTTAAGCTGTACACATAGAGCGGCACCAGCATGTTGTCTAACAGGCGGTTGGCCAGTTTAAAACACATCTCATCAATTCCGGGTGTTTCGAAGATGTCGTTCACATAGTGCAGCACATCGAGATGCTCCGCCAAGAGATCCGACAGACGACCGATCTTCAAATGGCTGCGCACAGGACGGGAGAAAGGGAACGCCAGTCAGCCTACACACTGAGGGGATGTTCTCAAATGTAGGGATGTTCTCAAGTGTAGGGATGTTCTCAAGTGTAGGGATGTTCTCAAGTGTAGGGATGTTCTCAAGTGTAGGGATGTTCTCAAGTGTAGGGATGTACTCAAGTGTAAGGATGTTCTCAAGTGTAGGGATGTTCTCAAGTGTAGGGATGGTCTCCAATGTAGGGATGTTCTCAAGTGTAGGGATGTGACATGTATGTCTCAGGGTACTTTGTGCGAAGTAGAAGGCACATGCATCGTATGGACGTGTGCTTGGGTACTTTGTGCGAAGGAGAAGGCACGTGCATCGTATAGACGTGTGCTTGGTTACTTTGTGCGAAGGAGAAGGCACATGCATCGTATGGACGTGTGCTGGGGTACTTTGTGCGAAGGAGAAGGCACATGTATCGTATGGACGTGTGCTGACCTGACACGTCAGTACGTCAGTACACGTGGCAGTGCTTGGTGCGCTGCGTGTGCGGGAGAGCGCCTTAGTTGTCTCACTGCACACCACACACGTGGAATAGTAGCCACGAGGCACAACGCAAAGAGATCACACCCAATTAGGGTTTAGGGTTTAGGGGTTGTGCATCCCACCTACAGAGAGCCATTACACAAAGTGCACTGTACCACAGGTACGACTACAGTGCTACTGAACGATCCACTGCTGCGATTAGGGCTTTCCGTTAGTACGATGCAATGGCAACACGGTGTATCCGCCCCACCCCACTAACGTACAAAAAGCATTAATATTGACGGTATCACAACACATCCACATCCGTTATGACAAGCGCACGTTAGCTGGCATTACACACGACCAACGTACAAAGAGCATTAACATTAACATTAAA